CCCCTATACATATGAAATATGTATATTTTGCGTCACTCTATATATACTGTAAAGACATGAAAATCGATACCGCTGACTTTTGGAAAGGGATTTTTACATATTTTAGTAGTGCTCGGGCACCAAAATAAGAATCCGCAAAAAAATTTAAAAAAATTCAAAATTTGGCCGCCAGGTGGCATTTTGAAAGAATCGCTGAAAATGCCTTTTTCTCAATTTTTGACCACCAACCTGCTTTTTTCGAATTTATTTTTTTACATTTTCGGAATCTAGGGACTGCGTAGATAATGTTAAAAAAAAAATATCATAACGATCGCTTGAAAAGTGGATTAAATATGGTCATTTTACCAAAAATGGCCAAAAACCTCAAAATTGGTCGCTTGGGGTGTTTGTATGTCCTCTTTTTTTTCCGTAGTTTTTGAAAAAACATTTTTTTTTGTAATTTCTATTGAAAGTAGATGGAAAACTGAGAATATATGTGCTTTTGAAATTTTCGATTTCGTCTCCCATATCTCTTGGGTCTGGGGTCGAAAATTTTTGGGAGGCCCTTTTTGAGTTTTTCATCAATTGGATATTTTTCTGGCCATCTTAAAGGTATTTCAATGATTTATACGTCGTTGGAAAGGTACAAGACTCACCTTTCTGGATCCAAAGTCGGAATGGAAAAAATTTCGAAAATGTCCACGAGGTGGCGTGTTATGTGACATTTTCGGCGAAAAATGACCATGACTTTTTTTACGTAATCCAAATTTTAAAAAAAATTTGTCTATGAAAAAAATCAAAAAACTAGGGGTTTGTTGGGGACCAAATATGTGATGATTTGGCGTATGTGTCATATCTGGGAAAATTCGTTTTAAAAAAAAATCGCATCCCGAAGTTGAAATTTTTTTTCGAGCAATTTTCTATTTTTCGGCCATTTTTGATCACAGGTAGATGGGGTATTTCTCAATAAAATAATGGCAATTCTTAGCTTATTGGAAAGACATTAAGGTCATCTTGATGAAGCACTAAAGAAATTTAAAAAAAAAAATCAGCGTAAAAGGTTAGAACAGAATGACTAGACCTCGAAAAATGGGGAAAAATCGATAAAAATCGAAGTTAATCGTCATTTATCTCGAAAAAATGTATGACTGGCTTGGCTTTTTTCCTCATAAATCGAAAGGGCACTCAATTTTGAGCCGGCATGAACATATTTAAGAACCAATATGTTTTATTTGGTGAAAATAAGAAAAAGTTTGAACTTAAGCGATCACCTTAATATTTTAATATCTTAGTAATCCACTGTAATGTGTTAGGTTTTTACTTTGTTGATCCACTTTGACAACTGATTTTACATAATTCGGACCCGAGGAATTCAACTGTGGTAACCATTTTGAGAAATTAGTTCAATTTTTTGAGATTAATCGGCTTGAAACCTTTCTTTTGGAATAATATTTCGGAAAAAAATGGTTTTTAGTCGATTGCTATGAAAATTGGTATTTGGGGGCTTTTTTATACGAGAAAACCGAATATGACATTTATTTTGCGGTAGAATTCGTACATGGTACATTTCCTATAAAAAAATCTTCATCTCTTGCCATTTTGAACATATTAACGGTAACCAAAATGCTATCAAAACTATTGATATAAGTAAAAAACACTTCTTTCGAAGTTCCCAGTGTGACGCAATACTGTAAATCTAAAAATGGTCTGATATAAATTTTCAGTGACGCGTTCGCTCAAATATGTACAAAATGTTATTATTGCGTCGCCTCTAAAATGCAAACACAAAATGATTGACATGTCTAAAAGTTAGAACAGAGCGTTTTTATTTTTGAAGAACTTATGTTTCACTTTGAACAAAAAATCTGCTGTTATTTACTCTAAAGCAATTATTTTCAATTTTATTTATTTGTAATATGTCCATAAAAAATACTAAGCCGCTGCAAGTATATACAATTTAAAATAAATGGGAAAACGGTTTAGTATTTTTACAAAGAGTGTATGTTTCCATATTTTTTGCGGCGAAAGAGGCGACGCAATAATAACATTTTGTACATATTTGAGCGAACGCGTCACTGAAAATTTATATCAGACCATTTTTAGATTTACAGTATTGCGTCACACTGGGAACTTCGAAAGAAGTGTTTTTTACTTATAAATAAAACACTACTTTATATTTTGACTATTTTTGTCTACTCAATTTTTCTTTTATTGTTATTTCAAAGGTTAGAATTTCTTTACAACTGGCTACATTATTAGCATATGTCATAGAATCTCAAAGTGAGAATGATCTATCCGGACATAAATTCGTTGAATGATTGAGCATTTGCGTTTGATTGCGCGTTTGCACCAGATGAACCGAAACCGCCTGGACCAAAGTTGTTATTGCTGGTTGCTAATGCACCCGAGTTAGATGAACCGAAACTACCGTCTAGACCACCGTAATTACTATTGCTGCTTTGTGAAATAGATCTGAAAATTAAGGTAAACCATGAGTTAATTGGTAAATTGGTTAAAGATATCGAGAACATACGATGTTTGAGAATTTGAAATTGACGATAATCCACCATGTCCACCATATCCACCATATCCACCATATCCACTATTTGTGTTTGTTTGGGTTCTAAAAATCAAATCAATTGATTAGTTTTTCTTGACAAGATTCGAGGACAAACATTCTTTTTTAAATTGAATTTAAAGATAACTTACTCCGATTGAGCATTTGATTGTGATGAACTGAGTTGTTTTTGATGCTGAATTGGTTGTTGATGAACATTCGGTGTGTATTGTCCTTGCGGGTGTCCTTGTTGGTGTCCTATTTGGTGTCCATGTTTTTGGTGTCCTAGCTGGTGTCCTGCAATTATTGGAAAATGAAAAATTCAAACACAAAATTACGTTTATTACATCATGTAAATCATTTATTGTAATATGTAAATATACTGGATGAATATTCTGTTGATGAGCTAATTTCGATATTGATATTATTTCGATATTATAAATGTTAATTTTTGTTGGTTCCAAATTTATTTCCACTTTGCAAATGTAATTCATTTTAAAATAAGAATCAAAGTGAATTCATTTTATTAAATTTTCATATGTACAAATTACTATTGTAATAATTTTCAATGAGTGTCAAAATGAAATGAATGTTCAGCAAAGTGTTGAAAAATGTTTTGAATATTGTTCAATGCTGTTTAAATCACCATGAGGAATAGCCGTGGTACAGACGATTATGGCACAGACAGCGGTAAAAGCAACGAAGAACTTCATTTTTGCACTTTTTTAGATGAACTGTTCAGTTTGAAAATAAATTTCACTTTGATCATTTACCACTTGACGCGGACTTTTTATAGCGTGCTTCTGCTCGCCAATCATGCGAAAATATCTCATGTATATGTAGATAATAATAAATGTTGGCATTCCCTTTGGGTTTTGCCCCCGCGTTGTAATGTAATTTTTTCATTTTCAATTCCAAGAACTGATTGCCATTTTTGCCTACATCATCATTGGCTCAAAATATCAAATCACTGAAATGCGCATGCAAAAAAAACAAAACAAATTAAAGCATTCTGACATTATGTTATCAATGCTACCAAATTTCGTTTTGAATCTCAAAAAATATGATTGTGCTTTTATTATTCCCCATAATTGGCACTTCAGCAAGTGATACTTTGAAGAAAAAAATACTTTCAATCTAGGGGGTAGACACGTGGAATAGGATTAGGCTTTTAGTGTAAAAATTTGAGAAATTAAAGTGGAATAGATAATTCAGTAACTGGATTCATATGGATTTACTAATCTCATGTATGGGATGGCGAAAATGGGTTAGATTCAATGTTTTTGTAATCGATAATACAGAATTTGATCAAAGCATTGAACTTTTTTGATATAGTCATTTGTTCTTTTTTGAAATATTTTTTAGTTTAAAAGTCGAATATAAATTTACAAAACAATAGATACACTTTCTCAAAATTTTATTGATGAAAAAAATCATTTGAATTATCAATAACAAAATGTCATACTCCAGTGTTGATAAATAAGTTTTCAACAAAGTGAATAGCGTCGGAATGTGACATCATATTTGACAATGAAATGACGGATTGGTGGAATAGTGGGATTAGTTTATATATTTGAATCATGGTTTAATCGTTTGTGTCTCCCCCCTAGCTTTCACTATTGAATTCACCATTTTTCTTATTCTGAATTGAAAAATGCTATCAATTCATTTGTAATTCCGTTACAAATGACATCAGTCACTTAAGTGACCAATTGGTATATACATTCGGGTGAAATAATAAAATAATAAATAAATTTTCGATGCACTTTTCATACAAATATTTGTGAAAATGGCCAAAAATGTGGATTTTTGTATGGCCATGTGAAACTTTGTACATTTCACAAAAAAATAATATTCCGAAAGTATGGCGTACCTCCCGCACAAATTTTTCGATTTTATGCTCAATATCAAAAGTTTTGTATGTGAATTCATAGATCATAGTAGCTACCATGTATTATCGTTTGCACCTCCAATTACATTGAAAACACTTTTTAAAATCATACGCATTTCCCTCTTTATTGGTGATCATAAATAGATAAATCTTTCTTCGAAATGGAACAATGCAAAATTGAACATGTAGAAGCTTTGACTTTGTTTTCGTTCCGATGAGCAATTTCCTTAAGCTTTGTTACAGTTACCGTGAAATAAAATTAGTAAGTTTAAAACTATTCAGCTTTCCAATTTTATCTCGCAGTATGCCTGGCTTATTCAATAAATTATTTCAATTTAAATTATTTTGGATGTACTGTAAATCGAAATTGAACAAAGTCTTTTACAATCATGGAAATGTCGGAAATTGGTAATTTTCGAAAGAACATGATGAGAATCATAAGATCTGTATCCAATCCCATAAGGAGTTTTTATGTTCGATCTGAAATATCAATCGTGTGCCATTTTCAACAATGATAACCGGGGTTTTCAAATGAAATGATTCATGAGCACTTGTTTTTAAATTTGATGTCATTTGCAACTGATAAAATAATGTTGATTGCGATCGTCAAAAAATAAAATTGAAACGTTTGAAAAAAACCAAAGGTCAAAGCAAGAACATTATGAATTATTTGTTAAATATTTGGGGCTGTTCGAACCTTCACTAAGTTTTATGTCAAAAAATTCGATCTTAAAAATGGGCATACTTAGTATATCTTGAAAATTGAACGGATGAGGATCAAAGTAAGCTCAAATCCCGATGAAAATAAAAGAGCA